CCCACCGCCCCCACTCGGCTCAACACCAATCCGGGACAATGGGCAAGCGTCCCTCCCGCAAGCTGGGCCCCTGGATGATACACAAAAAAGCCCCCTCCCAAGCACTTGTGGGCCCGTGCTCAGGCACCCGCCCATCGACTGGAGCCCACGCCCCTGGACGAGCCAGCCCAGACACCAGCACGCCCCCCGCCCGGGCGCGACAGTCGCACTGCGCCTCGGCAGTGACAGGTCCACAGCCGGGACCCACACTTTGGACGAGCCGGGCCGGCCGGCCACGCGGCCAGTGCACCGCCCGCCCCCTCGGGCCCCGGGATTCGGCCCGAGCAGAACGGCGCCTCGGGCCCGGCTCGGCACCATCCATCCGGCAGTGAGGAACAGCCGGACCGGCCCCCCCGGCGGCCACCTCCAGTTGGATCCCCCCCCCCCCCTCCCGCCGTCGGCCCTGACTCGCGCCGTGGTGGAAGGGCGTCTACCTGCCGGCTGACATTTGCGTGCAGGATGGCGAGTCTGCCCAGCCAGCCGTGAGAGGCCCCTTCCGGCCAAGTCGCCCTCGTCCTGCGGCCGGTGCTCCGGCCTTCCGAGCACCATGTGCCCAATCTACCCGGCGGCCGCTCCGCGCCAGGCGCCTGCATCGATCTGCCCACTGGCTGATCCCCCCCCCCCCCCCTGGGCACGCAGAGTACCGCCCTCCGCTCCGGGTACCACCGTGACCCGGTGCGTCCGAGATCTTGGCCGCCAGGAGGTCCTGCCCGAGGCGGTCCTGGCTCGACCGGGCGCGCCGTGTATGTGCATCCTCCGCGGCCCTGCGTGCCCTTTGCACCGGCGCGCAGGGGGGGGGGGGGGAGGAGCCGGGCGCGGCTCCGCGAGGCACTGCGAGACCACCGAGCCCGTGTGGCGCTCGCCCAGGAGAGTTTCGCCGGATGACGCCGAAATGCCCTTCCCCGAGGCCCTGCATCCTGGCCGCGGACGGCGCTTGTGTGGCCAACTGCCCAGCTCCTGGCATCTCCCGCCCGAGAGACACCCCCCGGCGCGCGGCATGCCCATGGACACTGCGCCGTCCAGCCCAAGCCCGGACTGGCTCCCGCATGTGGAGGCATGCCGTGCCGCCTGCCCGGCAGAACCCCGCGCCCCATGCCCCAAGCCCGCCGGCACATCCCATGCATCCACCTGGCCACCCGACTGGGTCCTGGCGCCTGGGCGGCAGCTGCCACTCGAGCGGGCCCAGCCTCGCCAGCATCCCTGTTCGGCCTCCCAAGGGACCGACCCTGACGGAGCGGTCGAACACCTTGTCCCCGGTGGCCGGGCCACCGCCGGGACCACGGCCGGCACCCGGTGCCCATGCTCCAAGGGCCGAACGCCAACTCCCGGCCCCGGGCCACCGGCCCGCGCCCCGGCCCGGCGGGCACATCGGCGCAGCTCGGCTGTCCGCCGCCCGCCGCCACGGCCCGGCCTCCACCTTTTGCCAGTGGCCCCCATGCGGGGCACCCTCTCCGGGCCGCGGGCCCGGCCCTAACCAAAACGCCGGGCTGCTGCTTCACCCCTGGCGCCCGGAGCCACGTGGGTCTGCCATGTTCGCGCCCCGCCTCCCCTTTCGGGTGCATCCCGATGTCCCAAGCGAGCTTCGCCAATCAGGGGCACCCTCGCAGCCAGACGGCCAGGCGTGCTCCCTTGCATTCGGTCCTGGAAGGCCCGGAGGGCGACCCCGGCAGATGTCCTCCTCGGCGGCCGGCAAGGGGCACCCGGCCAACGGTCCCTTCTCATCCGACTCATGCGGAGCCAGGAAATGGGGGCCCGTGTCGCTCAGGGCCCCGGACCCGATGGCGCCCGGCACAGGCAAATCCACGCCCCCTCCCCGAGGTGTCCTGACGCCTCCAAGGCCCGGCGCCCCTTGCGCATCCAGGGGGCAAGGCACCTTTTTTAGCCTGCATCGCGCAGGGCGAGGCGCCACCGGCACAAGGGGACACCTCGCGAGCCCATGTGCCCCTGGCACAGCCAGGAATGGAACTGCCGCGCCCGGCGGGCCTCCGAGGGAGCGGGCAGCTCGCATCGCGCCGAAGATGCCCTGCTCATTGCCATCCGCCCATACCCCACCCGATCTGGATGCGGGATCCGCGGCAAAGACCCCAGACCGATGGGTTCCCCCATGCCCACCCCCAAGGGGAATACCCCTCGAAAGGGCGAGCCGCATCGAGTGGCGCCTCGCTTTGCCGAGCACCGAGCTCGCTCCGCTGCCACCTCCCATGCATGGCACCCGGGCCGGCGGTCGGCCTGGCAATCGCAAACAACCATGCGTGGACACGCGACCTGCCGTCCACAACCCAGGGCTCAAAGGTACACGACAGGGGGAAACCGGGCACGCCCCCCGCCCCCCCCCCCTGCTAGGAAAGCTATCCCCGCGTGTCGACCCCACGCAGAGCACACTCCCCTGGCCGGGGCCCGTGGCCTCCCTTTGGACGCGTCACTCGCGCGCATGTGCCCGCAAGACACATATGAGAGCCCGAGAGGGGGAGGGCAGCCGCAGAGAGAAGCTCACAAGTGTCATTTACTCCGACGAGGCATTCGAGGCCGCGATACACGCCATGGCCAGCTTCTGCCGGAGGGCCACCACCGGAGGCCGGCTGTGCGGCTCGCCGTCCCACGCCATCGCCAGCAGGTCGGCCAGGGGACCGGAGAAGGAAACAGCCGGACGCTCGCCCGCCAGCACGCTCGACGCAATGTCCTCGAAGCCCATGCCTGGCCGAGCCGCGCACAGCACCCCCCACCCACCCGGGCCCGGAAGCAGGCGTGTTAGAGCATACAGACGAGTCCGCCCGGCCAGGGGAAGGAGGGAAAGAAAAAAAAAGCCCCCGGGCATACGCACCGGCCCACGGCAGACGGCGAGTCAGGCACTCCCACAGCATGATGGCCGCACTGTAGACATCGGCCATCAGGAAGAGCGCAGGGTCCATGGAGCGCTTGTGGCGGAAGGCCGCCAGGACCTCCGGCCCGGCATACCGTGCGGTCAGCGCATTCAGCTCCGGCGCCCGGCTCACGAGGGCCGACATCCGGTTGGCATTCAGGTTCCGGCTGGTGCCCAGGTCCCTGAGGGCCGCCCGCCACCCGGCCCCGGGCCCCGGGCTGATGAAGACATTCCCCGGCTTCAGGTCGCAGTGCGCCACCCCGGCCAGGTGCATGGCCTCCAGCCCGGAGGCCCACTGCTGGCAGATGTCCAGCAGGCTGGCCTCGGCCAGCGGCACCTCCGAGTGCAGCAGCTCCCGGAGATCCGTCTCGAAGCACTCCATCACGATGGCCGGCGGCTGCTCGCTGTACCCATACAGCCGGACCACATTCGGCGCCTCGCGCAGCAGCCACATCAGTGCCACCTCCCCCTGGAAGAGGGCATGCTGTGCAGGTCGCATCCGGGCCACCTTCATCTGCTTGATGGCCACCGTGCCCGTGCAGCCCAGACGCTCGCCGATGCCGGGCCCGACGACCCGCGCGGCGAACACCGACGCCTGGGTCCCGGCCCCGAGCGGGTCCCCCCCGATCGGGGCAAAGTCCTGCGCCACATTCACCAAAATGCTCCCGGGAAGCGACAGCTCCACGATCGTGTTCATCATGGTCGAGTCGTCGTCCAGGGCGTCGAGGTTTTCCTGCGTGCGTCCGATGGGCAAGCGGCAAAGAGGCCGGTCAGTGTCACCACAACCCGCCAAGGGGGCCGACGGGGGGGGGGGGGGGGGGGTAAACGCAAGGCAGCGAGCCAGGCCGAGGCCCTGGCCCGGTCGTACCTTGGCGCGGGCGCCTCGCCGGCGGCGCAGTCGCACAAAGAGAAATACCACCAGCAGCGCCAGCAGCACCAGCAGCAGCAGGCCCAGACCGAGGCCCAGGGCCAGGGCTTCGGGGAGGGGGGAGGGGAAGGCATCAAGTCAGTGGCCGATCAAGAAACAACAGGGCCAATGAAATCCCCCAGCCCACTTGCCCAAGCGGCACATACCCACCCGCCGACCGGACCACCCACCAGCCAGACAGTCCTCGGCGTCGGGCCCGGTGCAGGCCTCGCACCGGGCGTGACAGGCCATGCATGCCGGCGGGGCGGCCTCCCTATCGGCGAAGAACCCGGCCGCCGGGCAGTCGGCCACACACGCGCCATCCGCTCCCCGGAGGAAGGACTCATCGCACCAAGTGCACACCACTCCGGCCGGGCAGGCCGCCGCCCCGCCCGGCCGGAGGAGGCACCCACCCTGCGCAGCATACTCGCACCGCAGGCAGTCCCGCGGACAGGGCAGGCACACGCGCCCCGGCCCGGGGGTCAGCTCTGCCGGAGCCCGGCCCCTCTCGGGGCATTCGCTGGCGCAAACGCCGGCGTCCACATGCAGCCACAGTGACGCATCTCGGCACGAGGTGCACCGGGTCGCCTCGCCATCACACGTGTGGCAGGGACTCTCACATGGCGCACAGACGCCCGTGGCCTGCTGGAACTCCCCCTCCGGGCAGGTGTCCACACATTGGCCACTGGCGAAGGCCAGCACCGAGCCCGGCTCACATTCGTCGCAGGCCCCCCGGCAGCCGGGCTCAGCTCCATTGGCCATGGCCGTGCACCGGGCGCACTGCTCGCCGCAGGCCGCGCACGACCCCATGCAGGAGTAACGCCCCGCCGGGCAGTCGGCCACACACTGGCCCCGGTCTAGCAGCCCCGGATCCCGGCATGCAGTGCACCCCTTCGACCCGGGCCCGGTGCAGGTCAAGCACGACTCATGACACCGATGGCACGCTCCATGCGCGTCGCCATAATACCCGGCCAGGCAGGCGGACAGGCAGGCATTGTCATGGAGAAATCCGCCCGCATGGCAGCTCGTGCACTCGGTGCTCCGGGGCCCGGTGCATGAGGCACACGTCGCGTGGCACCGGAGGCAGGACATCGCCTCCGGGAAGGTCCCCACCGGGCAGGCCACCATGCACTGGCCATCATACAGCAGCCGGGTGGCCACCTCGCACGCGAGGCAGTGCTCCGGGCCATGCTTGCTGCATGTGGAACACGACTCATGGCACTGGTCGCACTGGCCGCCGAAGGGGAAGCTCCGGCCCGGGCACGCCTCGATGCATGCCCCCCCCGCCCGGAGCCAACCACGCGCGCACACCGAGCACATGGCCGCCCCGTCGGGGCAGCTGCTGCAATGGGCCCCACAGGCCACGCACCCGGAGGCGGTTTGGCTGCTGCCCAGGGGGCAGGCGTTGACGCACCGGCCGGTCGGGCCATCCGCCGGCAGGGCCTGCAAGCCCTCCCGGCATTCGGTGCACTCGTCCAGCCGGCGCCCGGAGCATGTCCGGCATGACGCATGGCAGGGCAGGCAGCGCCCGGCCACCGGGACGAAGCCCGGCGCACACTCAATTTGACACATGCCATCCTGCAGGACTTGGCCATTGGCCGGGCACTGCCAGCAGTCGCCATCGGACGGGCCGTTGCATGTCAGGCACGATGCGTCGCACGAGACGCACTGCTGTCCCACCGGGTCCCGGTACTTCCCCGGGTCGCAGGCCGGCACGCATGTCACCCATGGCCCCTCCGCCGGGACGGCATCCAGCCCCGGCGAACAGGCGGTGCACCGGCCGGCCCCGTCGCCCGCGCAGGTGTCGCATTCCAGCGCACACGGCTGGCATGTCATGGACTGGCCATCGCCGAAGGTCCCCGCCGGGCACTCCGCCACGCAAGCCCCCTGGTGAGTGAGGAAGAGCTCCTCCTCGCAGTCGATGCAAATGTCCCGGTCGCATGCTCGACAGCCGTCCGGGCAGGCGGTGCACATGCCGCTGCCCCCGGCCCCGGGCGCACCGTCGGCCCAGCGGAACCCCGGCGCACACGCCTGGCACCGGTTCGCGGCCCCGGTGCACAGATCGCACGACGCATGGCACTCCATGCACCGGCCGGCCTCGGCGAACAGCCCGGCCGGGCACACCCCCACGCACAGGGACTGCCCAATGGCACCCAGGAAGACCAGTGGCTCCTCGCACGTGCTGCAAGCCGAGGCACCCTCACACCTGGAGCAGGTCGCATCGCACGGAGCACACCGGCCGGTGGCCACATCGGCGAAGGCCCCCGCCGGGCAGGTGGCCGCACATCCGCCGGTCGATGTCACGAAGAACCCCTCCGCGCAAGTGTCACAGGCGGTGCTCCGGGCACAGGAGTCGCACTTTTCCGGGCACGCCGAGCACTCGACCGCCGACCGGGGAATCCACCCGTGACCCGGGGCACAGGAATCGCACTCGACCGCGCTGACACACGTTCCGCACTCGGTCGGGCAGGAGGCACACCGGCCGGACACCGCATCGGCAAACCGCCCCTCCGGGCACACCCCCACACAGGGCGACGCCACCTGAGCATCCGGGCTCAGGAAGTACCCCCCCGGCAGGCAGGCATCGCACGTCTGGGGGCCACTGCAAGAGGCGCACATGTCACCGCACTGGCGACATGCCCCATTGCCATCCGCGAAGTGCTGCTCCTGGCATCGGTCACATTTCGAAGCCTCCGAACAGGCCTGGCAGCCATCCCCGCAGACGGTGCACAACCCGCCCGACGACCAGTGCCCCTCCGGGCAGGCTTCCACACAGCTCATGCCACCCGCCTCGGGCATCAAATGCAGCCCGGCCTCGCAGGTGACGCACTGCCCGTCAACCGGCCACTACTTGTTCGGGCAATTTTCCACACAGCTGGCCCCCTCAGTGTGCCGGAGAAGAAGACCCCCCTGCACACAGGCCACGCAGGAATCAGCCACGCCGGCCATCGTGCAGAGACTGCACGTGTCGTGGCACGGCCCGCAGACGGCCCCCCCGGCGACAGGGCCCGTGCCACTCGGGCATGTGGCCGTACATGTGCCGGCCGGCGTCAGGAGCTTTCCGTTGGTGCATGCCAGGCACTGGCCATCATCCTGGCAGGAGGCGCACGAGGGGCCACAAAAGATGCACTTGCCCGCCGGCGGCGTTCCGGTTGGCGGTGCCCCGTCTTCCCACCGGTACCCCGTTCGACAGGCCAGGCAGTTGTCCGGGACCCCGACGCAGGCAGTGCATTCCGGCGCACAGGGCAGACACACCTGCATCACACTTTCAAACAGGAAGCCAGCCTCACAGGCGGAGCACTTGACGGCGTCTCGGCAGGCCGAGCACCCAGTCGGACAGGCGACACACTCGTCCATCGATCCATCGGGCCAGGTCCCAGCCGGGCAGTCCACGGCCCCGGAACACATGCCACCCGGCTGCAGGAACATCCCCGAGCCCAAGCAGCCGGTGCAAGCCCCGGCGCTGCCGGGGGCGGAGCACTCCCGACAGGACGCATGGCAGGACACGCACTGGCCGGCTTGCTGCTCGCCGGCCGGGGCCACGGCCATCCCCGAGGGGCATGCCGTGCATATGAAGGGCCCCACGCCGTCCGCGCTCGCACATGCCGCACAGCTACCATGACACAGGCAGGCCCCGGTCGCATCGGCAACCAGCCCCGCCGGACAGGCCGACAGGCAGACCCCCGGGGCCGAGGGCAGGAAGGCCGTGCACTTGGGCAGCACACAGTCCCCCGCGTCCGGGCCGGTGCACGTCTGACAGGACCCATGGCAAGCCAGGCACAGAGGCCCATACGTGCCAGACGGGCAGCTGTCGATGGCCATTTGCACCAGGAAACTCGTGGCGGGCAAGCCGCGATACACCAGCAACAGGTTGATGCTGGCCGGCCGGCCGGAGGGCAGCCGCGATGGCTGCCCAACCAGCTGCTCCACTCCCAGCGACTCGTGGCCAGTCTGTTCCAAGTCGGCCGGGTAGGGGGATATATGCCTTGGCCCTGGCCGACAGGCCAGCTCCCCGACGGGGCAGTGCAGCAGCATGACCCCCAAGAAGGCCGGATGCAGCACCACCAAGGCGCTGGGGTACTCCGGCAGCCCGGCAAGCCGAAGGGCCACCGCGTGGAAGGGCGCATTTCCGGTGACACCCGCCAGCGGACCCACGGGGGCCAGCAGCTCCGACGTCCCGGCAATGGCTCGGGTCCGGCCCTGGGGCTCCAGGCCCAGCGAGTAGTTCACCACGCCCCAGTGCCAGGTCCCCCCATGCGAGAGGACCCCAGTCACCAGGACATCCCCCGGGGGGAGGGGCCCCGAGCGCCGGGCCGCCCCGGCGTCCAGGTACACCGGCCGCCATGAGCCGGTCGGCTCGAAGGAGAAGCTCCCGGTCCCGCTGGCTCGGCTGCGGACCGTGCGGCCGCCATCGGCATGGCCCTCGGCATCGGGGGCACTTGCCCCGGCCGGCCGACCGGCCTCCGGGCAACCCCAAAGACACGTGGAACCCGAAGCCGGAGACATGCCCTCCGCCGGAAGCGGGTTGATGGGCTTGATCAGCAGCCCGTCAGCGGTCTTCAACCGGCTGTCCCCCACCCGCAGGAGGGCCCACGGCTGGGCAATCAACTGGGAACCACTCATCCGATAGACCCATGAAGCCGGCAGCCCGGTAAGCCGATCCACATGGGTCCCCATGCTGGGAATGTCCGAGGAAGAGGTGTCCGGGTCGGTGACCGTGACCAAGCTGCCCGCGGCATTGAGCTCGAAATGCTGATTGCCCACTGCCAGGACAGTCGGCGACAGTCGCCGCGGCGGGTTGGTCCCCGAGATGTTCGCCGGCCCGCTGGTCGATTGCACCTGCAGTTGGCACTCGTCCGCGGGCCCGGAGCCCGAGAGGACACATTGGAATACCACAGCGAGGATCTGGCCCCCGTGCATGCTCACCAGTGCCAGTCGCACCTCCCCCTGCGGAAGCACGACCGGTCCGAGTTCCAGCAGGGAGGTCGAAGAGCTCACGGGAAAGAAGGACCCGGAAATCCCCGTCACAGACACTGGGCCGCTTGTCGGGCTGGCCAGCAGCTGGTCCATGTCCAGGAAGCCCAGCGAACGGTCACTCAGCATCACCAACAGGGCCCCCGGCTCCGGGGCCTCCAGCGACGCATTCGACACGTACAGCTGATCGCCCTGCGCGTAGGCCCGGCTCCGGGTCAGCGACAGGATAGTCTGGCCATTGGCCAGGCTGGGCAGCTTCGTGAAGGCCACCGCCACCGGGGGCATGGTCGCCGGTCGGCACACCGCTCCCTCGGCCTGGAAGCCCGGTGAGCAGTCACTCACGCACCGAGTGACCGGCGGCCCGCCGCCATGGGCCGACCTTTCCAGCAAATACCCCTCGGCGCAGGCAACACACACCCCGGCCACGCAGGCCCGGCATCCGGCCCCGGGGCAGGGCAAACAGCGGTCTGGAGGATTACCATGTCCAAGGCAGTTAGCCACATGTGTGTGAGTGCATGCGCGTGCAAAGGAGGCCGAGCGAGGGCCAGAGCCGGAGGGCAAGGCAGGGAGAAAGCGAGAAAAGGAGCGAGAGAGGCAAGGAAGGGGAGAAAGGGAGGAGGAAGCCTCCCCGGCAAAAGCGATCATCAAGCCCGCGAGCAAGAGGCACACGGTCCGGACGCACATTGCTGCTTCGGTAGTGGCGCCCGGTAATAGCCGTCGGCGCAGCCGGCGCACAGCTCCGCCGACGAGGTCAAAGGCGAGTACACTCGCCCCGGGGCACACTCCCACTTGGCTTCGGTCGGGTGACACGCGATCGAGGGGTCGGCCCCGGCACAGCCGAGCAGCTCGCCCGGGGTGAAGGTTCGCATGCCGACCGCCAGTCGCCACTGCTCCGGGGGCTGTCCCGGCGCGCTGGCCCCATGGACCGGCACCAGCCCCATCCCCGTCAGGGTCATGGACGAGGGTCCGAGGACACGCTGCCACAACAAGCGCGTCGGGTGGTACACAACCCGCCACAGCGCACTCGTTCCCTGATGCAGATACAGGTACCCGGTGGGAAGTGTAGCGAGCGACACGCGTGGCACCAGCGACAGGTTGAGATTGTTCCGCGAGGTCGGTTGGAAGTTGGTGAGGACAGACTGCCAAGTACCATCATCCCCCAGTCCGAGGTAGATCAACAGCCGAGAGGCCGTGACCACGACCAAATCCACCCGGTCGGGATCGGCTGTCAGGTACCGCGTGGCTGCCAGCCGGAGGACCGCCTCATTGAGGGGAGTCGGGATCAATGTACCGTTGGGCAATAACCACGTCCACCCGGTGGCCGTGGCCAGGAAGAAGTGCCCCGGCAGCCCGGCCACGGCCCCGGTGGTGTCGATGGCCATGCCGCTCTTCTGGATCTCGCCCGGAACGAGGACCATCAAGCTAATGGTGTTGCCGTGCTTGACCAGGGCCCGGCCGGCGCTTGGCCCGGTGGCCGACGCCGCCAGTAAACTCGGATCCTGCCCCTCGGCGAAGGTGTGCTGAATGGTGTCGGCGTGCCAGGAGAAGCCCATCACCTTCCCGGACAGCCAGGCAAAGAGTGGCTCCCCCCCGCTCGGGGCCGCCATCGCCAGCATCGATGGGCTTGCCTCGAGCGGGATGTCGGCCAGGACAACCTTCCCGGAGGGGGTCTTGGAGAAGAAGCTGCCCAGACGCCGATCAAAGAAAAGATCCTCCTGCATAGCGGGCCCGTGAAACTGGCACCCGGTATTCTGGAGATGAATCTGCACCGGCGGCTCGGTCGGGTACAGGCGCTCGAAGGAGAGCCCGGCGACGGACACCGAGCCGTAGGGGGATGCCATGGCCAGGAGCGGCGGCATGTCGGCATCGTAATCACCGGCAATGGCGGCCTCGGCCCAGCCGCCCAGTGGCCGGATCCCTTGCAGCAGGGCTCCCACCAGCATCAGCACCAGGCACATGCGAAGGGAGGATGACCGGGCCTCCGGCGCGGGACCTGGCCCGGGCACGCGGCGCGCGGTCACCGCCATGCTGACGGCGGGCCACGGCACAAGGGCGAGGAGATACAGGAGGGAAGGAGAGGCTGGAGAGGGGGCGGCGGGGGGGGGGGGGGGGAGGGGAGCGAAAAGAAGATGCAGGGAGGAGAACGGCTGGCGTGGATGCCCCAGCGAGAGGCCCACCGGCCGCGCCACATTGAGGCCGGGGGCTCTTCGGGCCGGCCAGGTGCCCCACGCCGCCACCCTCCCCCCTCGGAAGAGCACACCCCTCTGCTCCCTCAAGGAAAACCGGCAGCATTCGTCTGGCAGGCGTGCGCACTGGCATGCCGGGCTCAATGGCAGGGGGGGAAGTTGGCGAAATAGTTTGTTGGGGAAGGGTCGGGGGAACGGGGCACCGGCCGAGCCAGAGGGGAGCACGAAAAGGGCAGGTCCCCCCCCCCCCCCCGCCCCCCGGCAGCGAGTGCCAATCGATGCCACATTCTCCGAGACAATAAAGGACCCGACAACATGGCATGCGCAACGGCCGAACGGGCCACGTGCATGCCGCCTATCGAGCGCGGTCTGGACCCCGGCCTTGCCCGATGGTGCCCGCTTGTGCGTGGGACAAGGCCGACCGTGTGAGCCCATCCGGGCTGTCGGCCCGCCCCCCATCTGGCGGCGGCGTGGGATTCACCGGGCCGACCGGGCCGGTCAGAGGAGCACATCATCCTCGGGCCAGTGTGCCTTGAACCGAGCCTCGTATGGGGTGCGAGAGGGATAAAGGGGGAGAGACAAAAAGAGACCATCATCATGCCGGAGAGAAAGAGAGAGAGAGAGAGAGAGAGAGAGAGAGAGAGAGCCAGCCTCAAGGCGTCTGCCGCCCGGCCCGCACCCCTGCCCCGGCAGGGGGGTCACGCACAGCACAGAACCAGGCTGCCCGCGCGCGTGTGGCATTCTTCGCTCGCTGCCGGCCTCCGTAATCACTCCGAATCAACCAGAGTGGTTCGACTGTCGGTGCGTTGTTTTAGGCTTTCCGTGCGGAACTCAGCATTGTGCAGGTGCCACGAATCACAACTACCGAGCCCCGCCCGGTGTCTGCCCTCTCGCCTTCCCCCTTGTGGTCGGTCTGCGCCTCCCGGCCAATGTCTCAGGGCACTGGGTGTCGATGCCCCCCCCCCCCCCCCCCCCCCCCCCCCAACAACCCCAAACCCACCCAAAAAGACCCACAACCAAAACACCAGCTATGCCCCCTTTGAGAACCGACCAGCCGGTGGGCTCCGC